GTTTTTGTTGCAACCACTGTACTGTAAACACACTGATATTTTCTTGACACATTCTCAGAACCCAGAATTACAATAAACTCTGAGGGAAAGGTCTGATAATTGCACCACAGAACTCATTTGTCATTGATTATAGTGTCACGTAAAGAGTCTAATTGCAGGAGCAGCGATTCATTGCTTTATGTTCAGAAAGTTTCTAAAGCAGTAAAATAAACATAAAAAGTGGATGTGAAAAGGTTAGAAGCAGAAATGTTCAGTTCTTTGGAACTTTGTGGTCAATATTAAAAATGATAGAACATTACTATACACTTATTGGTCAATACTAAAAACGATAGAACATTACTATAAACTTATTGGTCAATACTAAAAAGGATAGAACATTACTATACACGTATTGGTCAATACTAAAAAGGATAGAACATTACTATACACTTATTGGTCAATACTAAAAACGATAGAACATTACTATACACTTATTGGTCAATACTAAAAACGATAGAACATTACTATAAACTTATTGGTCAATACTAAAAAGGATAGAACATTACTATACACGTATTGGTCAATATTAAAAACAATAGAACATTACTATACACGTATTGGTCAATACTAAAAACAATAGAACATTACTATACACGTATTGGTCAATACTAAAAACGATAGAACATTACTATACACGTATTGGTCAATACTAAAAACGATAGAACATTACTATACACGTATTGGTCAATACTAAAAAGGATAGAACATTACTATACACGTATTGGTCAATACTAAAAACGATAGAACATTACTATACACGTATTGGTCAATACTAAAAAGGATAGAACATTACTATACATGTATTGGTCCATCCTAAAAAGGATAGACCATTCCTATACACTTATTTTATAAAACAGTTTTTCTGAAGAAAGATATTTGTTATTTATTTAGGAGGGTTTTATATATATATATATATATATATATATATCTTATATAATGTTTATTTTTATATGCCATCAACATCCTAGACTCCTACTGCTAAACC